AAAACCCCAAAACCCTATACCCTACACCCTTAAACCAAAGCCGTGAGTCTTGATCCCTAAATGTTTCAAGTTTTCGTGCTCGGGTCTTAAGGGCTTGTGGTCGCAGCCTGGCAGTCCTTGCAAAGCCCTAAGGGGAAAGGAAAAAGCCAGGGAAATCCTTTCCTTTATCCCCCAAAACCCCAACACCCTAAGCCTCCGACAAGCCTTAGTTTAGGGTTTAGGGTTTAGGGTTTTAGGGTCTAGGGTTTAGGGTTTAGGGTCTTAAGCTTGCAAAAAACATGTGGATGCTAAACACCCTAAGAACCTTCAAATTCCTGAAATTCATGAAGACCTAACCAACCAAAACACAGCACTAACATCCCTACGAAACCCACTGAGATCGAACACAGCCAAAAACGCACTAAAAACCCCAGAACAAAACCGAAGTAAAGGCTCATGGGACTTAGTGAGTAAGGTTACATGTAAATTTGTAATCAGGCTTAACCCCTACTTAGAGGACTTACACCCCCCAGTCACAACCCTACTTACTGAGCCTTTAAGTAAGGAGACCCTAAGTTCCAATGCAAAGTTGCTCTTATCGCACGGCTGAAAGTAAAAGGGGCCTGAATAAAATGGAAAAGGGTTTAGGGTTTAGGGTTTAGGGTTCATTTAGCGGCTTCTTTATATTTTGAAGACTTTGCTGCGACCGAGCATAGAACGAAAGTTCAACATGTTGTACGTGGCAGCAGAGACCATACTGATCTCCTCGACAAGGAGCACCCGGCAATGCACCCAGTACCTCCGCAAACGGTCCTCCTAGTTGCCGACGCTCATCAGGGAGTTGACCAGCTTCTGCACGCGCATGGCGCTGGCGGCATGCATCGTCTTAGATTTCACATGACGAGTCGATATGTTCTTCGCCTGCGAATTCTTCGCGGCCACAACCTGAATCGTCTCACGATCGTTTTGGGGAGGCCAGATGAAAAAGCACGATGAGAAAAATCAAATTCTGCACCACGAGGGTTTTCCCGGAACCGCCCTGTCCCAGCAGGAGCATGTGGTACACCTTGCGATCCTCCGGCGGCTTCTTCTGCTCCCGTCTCTCGCATCGCACAAACAACCGACCCTCTCAGAATTATCTAGAACTCTTGGGGATAAAGGTCCCCTGGTCCCCTTCAAGGATCTCCGTAATACCCCAGACCCCGAACCCTACTAATAATTGATGCGACCACACGACCTAGGACTATCTGGGTCTATGAGTCTATGAGGCTACGATACAAAGAGTGTTTGAGGCTTTTGCATAGGGGGCCTCAACTGTTGGAACAGGGCTTCTGCAAAAGGAGTTAGGGTTTAGGGTTTAGGGTCTACAAGGCTTCGATAACAGGCCTTAACAGTGGGAGTCTGCTGTGGGCGGATCTGTTGGAGTATAACCCTCTCCTGTACAGCGTTAAAGAACGCGCCTTGGCTATATAACCCTCAAAAACCGCAAGCCAAAACACATCCCTCCATTTTCTACTAGAACACAAGGCAGGCCCAGCCCTTTAGAAAACACACGCTAAACAGAACCCTCGTAACACCCATAAAACAAACATAAACTGGCCCGGTAACCCTTCTGGGACCCACCTGAAAGTAAACCCTATAGCCTTTCATATGGGACTCCTTCAAGGTATCGCAGAAGCCTTAGTAACTAGAGTAGCGTTTCGGGGGGGGGGGGGGGGGGG